ACTATCGCTCGATTAAAACTTGTTTTATAATTCAATACAAAAAGTACTGCAAATACTGCCAAATAGCTTTTCGGTCCACCTCTTTATCATTATTCCAGCTGTACAAAGTCCCGCCGTCAGAATAGAAAGTTTGGCAGGATCTTTTCAGGTTAAATTACTAATTTAGCCTCTAAACTTTTAGTTTTGGACCAAAACGATCCTTAAACATTTTAATCATAATTTACAGCACATCTTTTGTCTAAACAATCGGGATTTTCAATCTAGTTAATGGCAAATTCTAGGTATTTTTGTGACAGGTGGTTAAGTTAATTATAATTTTTTTAGAGTTGTGATGGTTCCCACTTCATTTTTTTATTTTATTTGTTATAATTAGATTGTAAATCAAATAATTCTTTTTATGCATAATTGCTCTTTATCCGTTTTAAGAATTTTAAACTTACCGACTCATGTTGGACTCTAGTTTCTAGCCTTTTAGTGTGATGATTTGAAGACATACAGCTGATAGCTCGAGTCGAACTTGTGCAACCTCAATCTTATACCTTGTGATTTTGGAGTTGAACATTATTGGACTCATAAACTACTAAATGGTATTGTAAATCTGATATCATTATCATTTTTTGTCTTCCATTGTCACTGAACTTCATTAATGAAATTATTGCCTGTTAAAAAAAAAAATTCGTCTTGCAATCTCTTTTCCCCCTTTCCTTCGCAATTACTACTTCAATATATTTTGAATTAGTTGTCTCACTAAATAGAAAATGGTATAAAGGAAAATGATTTAGCTGTGAATAATGATAAACAAAAACAAAATTTGAGACCAATAACATGACATATCATGTTATTTAAAATGTAAAGGATAAATCCTATATTATTTACAAAAAGATATTTTATAAAACAGAATATGCATTAAAAGTCTAGTCTATACTCTTAATAAAATTATTTTTATACTATTTCATTAAAGATATTTAAGTAAATTTTTAAGTAGACTCCACTTTTAATATACAATACACCTTAAAAAACTTGAATCTCTATTATTTAATGATTAGCTCTTTTATTTTTCTAAAACATGAATATTATATGTATAAATTAATTTAATAAAATAACTTATGCTACATCATTAATCCTAAATTTTCATCTCAAATTTTTATCATTCCTATCATTACGTTTTAGCTATAACTTTTATGTATAACTTTTTCTTACAATCTTATACATCATTTAATGATGAACTTTTTTCACTCAATCGAATCCAAAGGTTGTAGAAATAGATTGCATGCATATCATTACTCGTGCACTAAATTACTTGCCATACTTTATTTTTTTTTAAATAAATACTAATATTTTAATTTTACCCTAATTTAAAATAAATTAAAAATT